AAAGTAGATCCAAGTTGAGATAATGAATTTATATAATATTAAATTTTAAATTCCGATTAAATCCCGATATAATATTAAATTTTAAATCCCGATTAAATCCCGATAATCCCTGTATAATTTAATAATTTCGACAATATTAAAACTTACATATTCACTCTTATCATTGTGTCATTCAATTGAATATCGTTGATAATATATAACATAATAAATTAAATATGTATATTTATTAAAATTTAGGATATTTAAAAAAATTAATAATTAAAGAATGATTCATAAAATTAAATTATATTGAAAGTTCCAGGATTAAGTAATATTAGTTTAGAACTTTTCATTACTAAATTCAGTCACGGTGAATGTAAAATACAAAATCGAATTTTAGTAATTTGCTATTTATGAATTATTATAGTCATTTATGATAATATTTAATAATTAATAATTAAATAATTAAATATTCTTCATTAAGTATCAATGTTGCGTCACTACAACATTCCATTTGCAATTCTTTTCAATCAGTTTATATATAATCAAATTTTATCTTCAACATTGAATCAAACTCCAAGGTTTCACTTAATGTTATTTCATTCTGCAATTTTACGAAGTTTAAACAAATGATTGACAAATAAAATTATTACTTCGATTACAAATTTTCTAAATATAATTTAACATACCGATGCAATTCCTTGGCCCTTCGCCAAATGGCAAATAATGCATGGGATGTCGAGTAGCCACAGCATCTTCGTTGAATCTTTCGGGATCGAATTTCTCCGGATTCGGATAAATATCTGGATCGTGATGCATACCGTATACTGGGATCCATATCTCCGTTCCTTTGGGTATCGAAACTCTCGTACCATTGAATGTATAGTTCGATTTTGCTTGTCTCTTCAAGATAACTCCTGGTGGATGCATTCTTAATATTTCTGCAAAGAAATAAATAATGTAACTTATGTGTATATGTGTATATAAAATAGAAACACAAAATGTAAATCTATGGGGCTAAATTTAATCATATGATAATATAAAAATATGTATACCAGATGCATATGATTATTTATATATGTTAGTATTTCTTTATCTTTGTTTTTTTTTTTTGTTTCATTGTATCTAAATATTATGTTACATATTATTATACATACGTATATAATTCCATACTATATATATTATATGTTACATCCAGAACCGGCTAATTAGCTGCCCGCGGACTCTATTTTCTTGATCGCTATCTCTTTCACTGTATCGATCTCTCCACTTGCTTGATAGAGAAATCAACAGACTGAGAGAGTGGAGTTCATGCACGGCGAGGAAATTTCAATGTAGTGGGGGGACCGATACAGTGGAGGGGGTAGCGATCAGGAAAGTAGGGGCAAGGGCCGCCAGTTAGCCAGCTCTGTTACGAATTATGTACATTACGATTATATACGTTATGTATAATACACAATACAGTATTTAAATTCGATTAAATAAAAAGAAAAGTAAAAAATTTACTAATAAATTGATAATTGGGAAGTCAATCTAAATTGAACTTTACCTTTGAACACTTGATCTAAATATTTCATTCTCTTAATATCATCGTATTTCAATTCTCCGTTGTTCTTGGCACAGTGTTCCTCAATTTCCTCGCGGAGTTTATCCTGTATGTCTTGATTCAGAGCTAGTTCGTAAAAAGCGTTGCTCATGGTCGTGGAAGAAGTTTCAAAACCGGCTATGAAGAATACGAATACCTGCGCCGTGAGTAGTGTGTCTGTCAAGTCTGAAAAGGAACACGATCGATTACTCTTAAGAATCTAAATAATATAAATATCAATGTCAGTAGACGTTGTAACATTAATTATAATTGTCATTATAATTGTCATTAATTGTAAATTATAATTGTCATTAATTAATATCACAATTAATGTTTTGTGGTGTTAACATTAGCAATTCTGACGTACTCATTTGAATTTATTTATATTTTATTACTTGCATTATATTTTTTGTTATTTATATTATTACTTGTATCATATATTACATTTTATTATTATCTCCGTCAATTCAGCATTGAATGCTGGGGCCA